CTTCCAAGGGTAGGATAGAAAAGGTGATAGAGTTTCCACCTCACCTAGCACTCCTTCTCTCTCAATCTCTCTCTGTCTCTCTCTCTATTTGTTTCGGATTCCTGAGCCCCCAACCTTGTAAGAAGTCTGGCTACACCACAGCCGCCATATTGGAGAGACCACATGGAGACGGAGACACCTGACAGCCTGCAGCTCTCGAGTCTCCCAGCCCAGGCAGCAGACCTGCGAGAGTAAGTCTTCAAGTGAGTCCATCCCCAGGCAACTAAGAGACCCAGCTCCAGAGCCACCTAACTAAGCCCAGTCAACCCCCGGACCCACAACACATAACAGTATATGATTGTTGTTTCAAGCCAATGCATTCTGAGGTGATCTGTTACACAGCGATAGGTAACTGGATAGGAGGTCAGCCAGGACATATGGGTGTAGAAGCTCTAGGTATGTACATAAGGAGAGGGGAGCATGTGGAAGCTCTCTTCCAATTGCTGTAATGTTCCCAGTGAAGTAGGAAGCAAGGCTATCAGCTAAGAGTGAGGAGACAGCAGGAGATGCTGGGGATTCAGAGAGAAGAAGGGGGAGAGAGTCCTCTAGGACGGTCAGAGAGCACCTGGATGAGGAAGTCGAGTGTGATCACCTGATGGCAAGAAGGACCCCCCCCCCCAAAAAAACCCCCTCACCTTTCTGTGTTTAATTTGCATTCCCCTTCCTGTGTTTATCATATATTCTTTGAATAGCTATTACCTGGTTAGATTAAACTACTTTCAGCAAAATTCTTCACAAAAGGAAATTCATGTTGAGATGAGAACACTTGAGGCCTGGGAACACTTCTTGTTATCCTCAGTTAAGAGAGAACTTGCTCCTCTCCTTCCTCCACTCGTTTACCCAACCAACCAGTCAGAAGGCAAACATACTGGGCACTCCCTGTGGGCTACCACGTGCCAGGCTTCGAGGACAACTTCTCCGTGCACTCAGCTGCTCCTCTGATTTATTTTCAAGATCACAAAGCAGAAAAAAGCCAAGTTGCCTAAGTCGAAAGGGAAGTGTTGGACTATGCATTTCTGGTGGAGGGAGTTGTTGAGTCAAGCTGTGGGAGGCTGCAAATGGGCTGGGTTGAACCAGAGGTGCTGGCTGGCTAGAGAACAATGAGAAGGGAACAGAGAAGAGGCAAGGAGTGGGGGAGCAATTATAGGAAAACCTTGAATTTGAATTCACTAATCTTTTGCCAAGGTGATATGGCACTGAATGTTTAATGACGAGATACGTATTGTGTTCATCACTCTCAGGGCTAACCAAGCATTGTGAATAATAAGGGAAGTTACTTAAGTGCTGTTTGTTTTATAGGCTGAGCCTCCACTGGGAATTTCTCTAATAGATTTACAACCAAACATCCCCTTTTTGCAAATTTTGAAATATTTCTAATTATAGGCTAATCTCTGCAAAATGTAATTACCACCAATGTCAAAGTCTCATTATATAACAGAAAAAAATTTAAGTACACAGACATAACTTACTTACTTTAAGAAAAGAGAGAGAGACTTTATCATTTACTTTCTACCATCTTAGCCCAACAGACTCAGTTTTCAAAATAAATGAATAAGATGATATAAAGTAGTCTTATATAAATTAGGAACTCAACAGCTACTATGCATCACAACAGGCACCAAGGACCATAGCTATTAAATCTTATTTGACCTTACAGCCTATCCTCATTTTCCATAAATCACGATCGGCACACTTTTCCTGTAAATATTTTAAATTTTGGAGGCCAATCTGTCACAACTACTCAACCCTTTGAGTAGTTTGCCTCTGTAGCACAAAGGCAGTTATAGACAATGCGTAAACAAAAACACAAGCAATAAAACTACTCGTGGACACTAAAATTTGATTTTAATATAACTTTTATGTGTCAAGAAAGAGCATTCTTCCTTTGACTTTTTCAATAATCTAAAGACAAAAAACATTCTTAGCTTGTGGGCCATACACGACCAGGTGGCACGCTGGATTTGGCTCACAGCCATAATTTGCCACCCCAGCCTTATACGTTGGTGCGCTTCTGAGACAGCAGAGATTCTTGGCGTCCAAAGACACTGGTTGGTCAATGTGTAATGATCATTTTTAACTACAGCATGATCTTCCAAATTTTTAAAGAATCAGATGCGATTAATTCAATAAGTGGATTCGTATTATCCCTCTCTTTAGCCGTGAAGAAATTTGTTATAGTTAAGAGCAGAATAATGTTTTTATTTTTTAAATTATAAGTAATTTAAACTACTGCTACATTTGGACACGTTTCCTTCTAACACTAATCTGAGCTTCCCTGCATCGGTTTCGCGCAGCGAGGAGCCTTGTAGTACTAGCTGGGGCTTTGTCAGCGGGAAGATTCGATCGTAAATTCTTGGTGAATCACTTAACCTCATGAGCCTCTGATTTCTCAGCTCTAAAATGGTTAGAATATGGGGCTCTTTTGTGAAACTATTAAGAAAAATAGGTAATGCGTTTACTCATGTAAACCATTATCATAGATTAACCAACATTTAGTAAGCATCTAGCATGTGCATTAAGAACATCAGGAATACACAATACTTACAATTTCTAGCTTGCTGTTCTAACTTACCATCACATCATGAGTATTTTCTTATGTCATTCAGTATTCTTTTAGAAACCATGATTTGATGGTGACATACTCTTCTGTTTAATGGGTGTTCCACAGTTGATTAACCCTCCCCCAGCAGTGCACATGAGATATTCTCTTTGCCATGCTGCATAGACCATCTTTGAAACTAGTTTGCCACATCCTTAATCATTTCTTAAAGAAGAGTTTCTGGAAGTGGAGTTTCCATAACAAAGGATCTGACATGTAACTATTAATAAGGGTGAATAAATTCCTGGTGCTTTTTCGCCTTTTGTATTTCTTCTGAAAATTGTTTTCAGGTCTCCTCTTATAGAAGATATATCAATTTCTCCTTCTTTTCTTAAGTAGTAAGATATCATAATCAAAGCCCGCATTTGCTGAGTCTCCTGGGGAACGGTGTGTGCTGGGCTTGGTCTCTGTAGAGCAGAGGATCTTCAGCACAGCTTCTGGAGTCAGACGGCCTAGCCAAGACTACTCAAGCTCCTTAATCTCTCGAAGCCCCAGCTCCCTCCTCTGTGCCTCACAGGGCTGCTTTCAGGCAGAAACAGAATCCCTAGACATTAAGTCCTTAGCATGATGCTTGACTTAGAGTAAGTGGTCAGTAAATGCGAGCTTTCTTTATTTGTATCAATCCTATCATGCCATCCTCAGGGGCAAAGACAGATGTGGGCACTGGTTTGCATAAAAATAGACCTCTGAGTTTCTAGGAAATGAAACTATAAGCAGTTGTTTCCTTTGTAAGAGAGTACCCCATGGTTAACTCTTCATTAGACCTTAGACACAAAATGAGCCCTGGCACCCGCATTCAGGTCTAGAAGGCAGAGTGGGTTCCTGGTGAATGAGCTCCATCATGTCTAATTTGGGTGACAAAATACTTCAGAAAAAGGCTACGGGTGTCTTTTTCTGATTAATTTTTGGCACACCTAATTACACCATTTGCAAAGGACTTGAACATGTATTCTGTTAGTTGAGCCTCACGAGGGCCCTGCAAGGCAACCGGAGAGGTATTATAATGCTCATTTTCTAGTTAGAGAAATTGAATTTAAGAGAGCTTGGGTGATGGTCCCAAGGTCCCCCAGCTAGTGACTAAGCGAGCCAGCACTGACAAAGACTCTCTCCTTGACTAAACTTTAGTCAGGCTCCTCTAAGCCACTAGGCCTTGATCTTTGGGCTTCTGTGTTCATCTGCCCAGTTTTAGCAGGAATCCCTTGCCCTTGCTATCTGATCAAATCCTCCCCCGCCTCGCCCAGGTGATATCTGATCTCCCTGGCCTGTTTGTAGCAAGAATCCTGTCAAGTCGGTTTATCTAGAATCCCCCCCCACAGCCCTGATGTTTCCTCTTAGTAATTTTCCATCCAGTGACCCCACTCTGCTCCTTGGCTATGAATCCCCACTTGTCCCTGCTGTATTTGGAACTGAACCGAGTGCTACACCGAGGTCTCTTTTCCCCTATTGCAATAGTTCCTGAACAAAATCTGCTTTTATAGCTTTAACCACTGTCCAGCTCTGGTTTTCTTTGACAGCATGCGAGCCCAGGTTCCCTGCAGTCCTACAACTATGTGTTCCCCATATACATACTCGTTCAGAGGACACCATATGCTGGAAAAAGCACAAAGTAACTTCAGTGATTTGTATGGCTTTAAAGCCAAAAATGTAGGATGAAAAAGTTAGACCCATAGAAGCTATTTTCCCAATTCAATCTCTGTTCCTCCTCACTACAGCACACATTAACTCTTATAGGAAGCTGGACAGAGAAAGTGCTAATTAATCTGAAATTACAAAATACCGTGATTAATCTTGATTATGAAATATCACAAAGAAGTTTTCCCCAGCAAATAACCAAAGTACAGATTCTTAAACATCTCTCTTGCCAGCTGGTTTTGGTTCTTCCCACAAAGATTACAGATAATACTTTTTAGGGATCTTTTAGCTGTTCTTACCATTTTTATTCTTCTTCCAAAATGAAATATAGAGGTCTAGTTGAAGAGAACAGAGCATGAGAGGCGTCAAGATCAGCCTGAGATGGGCCCAATAGCATCAACTAAGATAAAGAGAAAACATCAAACTTCAGCTTCAAAACTGGCTGAGAACATTGCTCGAACATGTGCTGTTGAAAACACCTATTAATAGTATTTACTTCCTCAAAGTTATACAGGCTAGAGACATACTCTAGAAAACCATTTCTAATATTATTAAAAGTCTGACTTTTTCTTCGAAGAACTGACATTTTAGACTACCAAAATTCTTCTTTAGATTCTAAGATTTTTATGCATAGGATTTCAGTTCTCTCTCCTCCCCTCCCTGCTCCCTAAGAACAGCTCATACATCTAGTTACTTAAATTATCCAAATTTGTCCCAAGGTGTAAAATACCTTTCTTGGTTGCATGGAGCGATTCTATGTCTGGAGTCTGCTGAGATAAAGATATGGGCTGCAGGAAGCACGGAGTCACAGAACCTCCAGGCTGCCAGTCCTGGAGTTCACAAGTGCAAAGACAAGATTGGTGGGTAGGGGGAGGAGCATGACTATTTAGGCCACCTCAGACATGAGGTTTGCAGAAGCACCAGGTTCCTCTTATTTTTACCACCATAATTGGGGCAATGTGTTGTCTAAATGCAAACAACCTTGGAGATGGGTCTTCCTCTTTTTTAGGCGAGTTTCTCAATCTCAGCACCACTGATATTTTTGCTGAGATAATTCTTTGTTGCATTGTAAGATGTTGAGCAGCATCCCTGGCCTCTACCCACTAGATGCTAGTAGTACTATCCCTTCCAATTATGTCCAATTATGACAATCACAGATGTCTCCAGACATTGCAACATGCTCCCTGGGGGCAAAAGTGCCCCAGGTTGAGAACCACTGTTCTACAGACATCTTAGAGACATGTCTAAATTTCCCCTCTTCTGTCTTAGGCCCAGCTGAAAGGGACTCTGGTTTTTAAGCAGTGGCAAAGCTTCCAGTTGGTTCACTTGCTCGGTTAAAAAACGTCAGCTGCTTTTGCAGACTAGCGTCACCTCAAAGTGGGGTCCCCAAGAGAACTGTTCCCATCTTAACTGGTTATTGGGGTCTTTTGTAGGTAGAGTCAAAATATCAGTATTTCATGTTTAAAGTCCTTTCGTCCACCTACTTGACCTGGAGAGAATTTGCAAAACGCCAAGTTTGGCATGGGGAAATCAGCTGATAATGATCAAGGTTAATATAGTGGATTGACAAATCAATGGTGCCCCAGATCAGCTGAAAAACTATTAGGTACAATAATGATAGGTGATCTTTCCTGAGGGTTTGTTATGAGCCAGCTACTGTTTTAACTGCTTTATAGGTATTATCTCATTAAATGCTAAAAAAAATGAGGTAAATATCTTATTATCCTTTTTTTTAAACAAATCATGGAATTAATGCAGAAAAGATATTGGACTTTCCCCAGGTCACATACCATGTACGTGATATTCACAGAGGCAGTAAAAATCAAATGCCTTCTTATCAAACCACTCTGCTGTGCAAACAGATTAAAATCAACAGCTTCCTCACATATAAACAATAACTGATCCAGACTGGCAATGGAAGGAGAGATCCCATTCAAAATAGTAACAAAAATATGAAATGCTTGGGAAGAAAGTTGACAGGAAACACTAGGAATGAAGGAGGTGGTAGGAGGGCAGGACTACAATGCTTTACCTAGCAGGCTGCAGGCTTTCTCTTTGCCCCTCCAGACCAACCATCCACACTTTTCCCCCAGCTCTGTGTCTAGGAGGCTGAGCTGTATTAATTTCATCAACAGCTGGCAGGCTTCTTGTTGGGCTTGGCCAATGGAGAGAGAGGTCAGGGTATTTATCCCCCTGGCTCCCTCCCTTTGCAAGGCTGTGGGTTGGCTGTGATTAGAAGTCAATTGTACTAGTTAATACTAAGAGCTTGCACCCCTCTAATGAAGCTCTTGTCAGGTGATGCTCTCCTCATGGCCATTCTTCCTGAATTCCAGTAATTGTTCCTCCTCCTTGACATTTTAGACCTCCCCTGGAAGTGCCGCACCATCCTTTCTGATTTCTGTAAATCCTGTCCAAATTGTCATTAATAGTCACTTTGCTACATTCATCAATTCCTTACTTTGAATTTGCTACCTGTTTCCTGCCAGGACCCTTGAGGATGCAAAGAGTGAATGAAGAGAAAATGATGCAAAGGTAAAATGTTACCTCATTTCTTATATCAAAATTAATTTCAGATGGTTCAAAAATTTAAATGTAAGACATTGAACATTAAAAGTACTAGAAGAAACCATAGATAAATATTTTTATAATCTTGAAGTGGGAAAGTTGTTCTAAGTATGATGACAACAATAAACAAAAAACCAACAGCAACAACCCTGGAGTCTGAAAGAAAGCATTAAAAAATTTGACTGCATAAAAATAAATCTGCTTACTCATCTGTAAAGTGAAAGATGAGGCTGTATGGTCACTAAAGACACATCCACGTTTTATATGGTAGGATCCTGAGAGATTATGATACTATGCATCTAACTTATTGATTATGCTTTCTTGTGTTGTTATTTATCGTTGATTCATATCTCCTAGCTCCCCAATGATATTACAGACCCCTTGAGTTAAGAATGCATTGTCCCCAACAGCTTGTCCATAGTAGATACTTAAGAAATTGTTCTTTATGATGATGAAAGTGATCATGAAAATAAGAATAATTCAATTAAATCAATTTTGAGAGGAAGATCGTTAAACAGATTAATCAATTGAAGTGACCAGTCACCTGATTAGTTCCACAAGCTATTTGAATTAACCAGGAATTTAGTCAAGTGCAACTTACCCAGCAGTCGAGCATAAATACAGCCTGTGTTTTCCTATGCAAAAGATACTAAGTCCTTCTTCAATCCATGTGCTGAATTCAATAGCAGAGTGGTTACTGATTTTCTGATCACTGATATTATATCATTCTACTTTAACTTCAATTATATTAACAGCCTGTTTGTTTTATCTTTTCTTCCCAACATTTTAATCATTTTTATTTTATTTATTTATTCATTTAATTGCAGTAACATTGGATTATAACATTATATAACTTTCAGATGTACATTGTAATATATTTCAAATTCTGTGTAGATTACATCATGTTCACCACCCAAAAACTGATTATAGTGCATCCCCTCACATGTGAGCCTAATAACCCCTTTTGCCCTCTCCCCCACCCTTTCCACTATGGTAACCACCAATCCAATCTCCATTGCTATGTGTTTGTTTGTCATCGTTTTTATCTTCTACTTATGAGTGAGATCATATGGTATTTGACTTTGTCCCTCTGACTAATTTCACTCAGCATAATACCCTCAAGGACCATCCATGTTTCCACAAATGGCCGGATTTCATCATTTCTTATGGCTGAGTAGTATTCCATTGCGTATAAATACCACATCTTCTTTATCCATTCATCCCTTGATGGGCACCTAGGTTGCTTCCAAGTCTTGGCTATTGGGTATAATGCTGCAATGAACATAGGGGTGCAAGTATCTTTATGCCTTTGCGTTTTCAAGTTCTTTGGATAAATACCCAGCAGTGGGATAGCTGGATCATATGGTAGATCTATTCTTAATTTTCCAAGTATAGTCCATACTGCTTTCCATAGTGGCTCCCATCAGCAGTGTACAAGGGTTCCCTTCTCTCCACATCCTCTCCAACATTTTCTGTTTCCTGTCTTGTTAATTATAGCCATTCTGAATGGAGTGAGGTGATACCTCATTGTAGTTTTGATTTGCATTTCCCTGATAGCTAATGATGTTGAGCATCTTTTCATATGCCTGTTGGCCATCCATATATCTTCTTTGGAGAAATCTCTGTTCATATCTTTTGCCCATTTTTTAATTGGGTTGTTGAGATGTAATAATAAAGGCCATATATGACAAACCCACAGCAAACATCATTCTCAACAGAGAAAAACTGAAAGCTATCCCTCTAAGAAGAGGAACCAGACAAGGATGCCCACTATCACCGCTCTTATTTACCATAGTATTGGAAGTCCTAGCCAGAGCAATCAGGCAAGAAAAAGAAATAAAAGGGATCCATATTGGAAAAGAAGAAGTGAAACTGTCACTCTTTGCAGATGACATGATTCTATATATAGAAAACCCTAAAGAATCCACTAAAAAACTTTTAGAAACAATAAATGAATACAGGCAAGTCACAGGATACAAAATCAACATACAAAAATCGGTTGTGTTTCTATACACTAACAAGGAAGTAGCAGAAAGAGAAATTAAGAATACAATCCCATTTACAATTGTAACAAAAAGAATAAAATGCCTAGGAATAAACTTAACCAAAGAGGTGAAAGATCTGCACACTGAAAACTAGAAAACATTGTTGGAAGAAATCGAAGAAGACACAAAGAAATGGAAAGATATTCCGTGCTCTTAGATTGGAAGAATAAACATCGTTAAAATGTCCACACTTCCTAAAGCAATCTATAGATTCAACACAATCCCTATCAAAGCTCCAACAACATTTTTCACAGAAATAGAACAAAGAATCCTAAAATTTATGTGGAACAACAAAAGACCCCGAATAGCCAAAGGATTCCTGAGAAAAAAGAACAAAGCTGGAGGTATCACGCTCCCTGATTTCAAAATATACTACAAAGCCATAGTAACCAAAACAGCATGGTACTGGCACAAAAAGAGACACACAGATCAATGGAACAGAATTGAGAGCCAAGAAATAAACCCACACATTTATGGACAGCTAATATTCAACAAGGGAGCCAAGAGCATATGATGGAGAAAGGAGAGTCTCTTCAATAAATGGTGTTGGGAAAAACTGGACAGCCACATGCAAAAGAATGAAAGTAGACCATTCCCTTACACCATTCACAAAAATCAACTCAAAATGGATTAAAGACGTGAATGTAAGACCCGAAACCATGAAACTTCTAGAAGAAAACAGGCAGAACGCTCTTTGACATCGGTCTTAGCAGCAAATTTTCAAGTCCCGTGTCTGACCGGGCAAGGGAAACAAAAGAAAAAATGAACAAATGGGACTACATCAAACTAAAAAGCTTCTCCACAGCAAAGGAAACCATCAACAAAACGAAAAGACAACCTAACAATTAGGAGAAGATATTTGCAAACCATATATCAGATAAAGGGGTTAATATCCAACATTTTTATTTTGAAAAATTTCAGATATATAGAAAAGTTGAAAGAATTGTACAATGCAACCTGTTAGACCCGCCACCTAAGTGCGACAGTTGTTAATAGTGAGCCATATTGGTTTCACCTCTTTGTATGTGGATATAGATATATATTTTTTCCTAATCATTTGAAAGTTGCAGACAACATGACCCCAAACACTTAAGCCTATATCTCCTAAAATCAAACATAGAATTAACAATAATCCCATAATATCATCTTATATCAATTTTATATTCAAATTTCCCCAATTTGTCCCCAAACCATCCTTTATAGCTTTTTTGTTTGGATTCAGGAGCCATTCAG